TTGCATGAAAGGTAAGTGAGAATGTTTAAGGAGGATAGGGAATGAACTTACTTCGAGGGACGGGAAAAGAAAGCAAACCTCTATGGTCAACACACAGTCGCACTGTGCATACATACAATTTCAAACATTCTGGTCTGTGAAGTGACAGCATGATCGCCATTGTTATCGGTTCGCGGCCATGACCTTCAGTTTCTCTAACAGGCGGTTTCGGAGTCTTTTGGACCCGAACCCGGAAGCCGAGAGACACCTGCTCTACCTAATCGTTTTCTGCATTTCTTCATGCCTCGTCTCCACGTCACCTGCTGGCCTCCACGTGGCTTTCTCCAGAATGTAACAGCCACCGCAAACAAGGCGCGCTGCTGTAGACGACCGTCGGACATACGCAAAACGTGTCCTAACCAACGGAGCCTACTGAGCTGGATTCGATGAGATAGGAAGTTCTTGTTTGATGTATTCCCAAACACCCGACAACTTACTTTTAATTTACTAACCCGCTCACTGCATCACGCTTGGGCCGTACCACGTGAGCATCGATTGTCGAATACTGCTAAACGACGGATGTCTTTTACCCGCAACTTCAAGGTCTCACAACCGTACAGCAGAACTGATCGTACAGTGGCGCAGTATACGTGACTTTTCAACTTCAGTGAAACATCGCGTCGCCGCCACAGGTGTTCAAGTCCTGCGTATGCTGATCGAGCCTTTGAAATGCAGGCGGTTATCTCCCTTGATGCACTACCGTTGTTGGTCACGCAGATATCTACGTAAGAGAAGCAGTCAGCTACAGCTAATTCCTGATCGTCCAGTTTCAGAACGGAACTCGGGGACACCCAGTCTTGCAGCATCACTTTGCACTTTAAAGTTGCAAAGCATTTGTCGAACGGAGCGACAGAACTTGACAATCTGCCAAGTGCTCTTTGCGCATCCTCCATAGATTGGAACAGGCAAACGATGTCGTTAGTGTACTCCAAATCTCACAGTTTTTCTCCAGCTGCCCATTCAATACCTTCATTTTGGAGACCACTTAGTGTGTTCTCCTGCATTTCATCCATAGCGAAATCGAACAGGAATGGCGAAAGAGGGCAACCTTGACGAACACCGCTGTTAGTTACGAACGACCAACTCAGCTCGCCGCAGACCCTTGCGGTACCAGAACGTTTTTAATCGCATCATGAACAACACAGGGATTGCAAGATTATTTTTATTCGTATGTCGATTGGCAATCTTTTGTCGCTTTGTACATCTTGCACCTTGTATTCTACAGTGCTTTTTGTTTTGTAACTAACAGCCTAGATGGCTTAAGGCGAGGTTGACGTTGCTCCTTATCTCAGTGTTGTCGTTCACCCGTGCGACACTCTGTTATTGCGACGTCGTGGAATTTTTTCACCCTAAGAAACTGACTCGAGATCAAACACCTTCGCTCTGCTGCACGTGGGCACATCATTCACAGCTACATGCATTCATAATCGTATTATATTTCATCATTTCTTGCTCTCGTCGAACATTTAAATAAACTGGAAAATAATTATTCCAGGGAACGCTCGGGAAATCATCTCCCGTTCACATTTCATCCAGTCATGCATTCACGCATTAGCCTTCACATGCACCATAAACTGAACAAAACTGTTCAACACACCTATGGAGGATCCACCTCCTTTATATAATTAGGTAACCAACGGGTAGTTCCGCTCTAGACCAACGTGCGGATATTCGAAACGGACGTGAGTAAACATCAGTGACAGGTTCTGACGAGTATCAGCAACCATCGAGACACCAAATCACGTCGGGCTCACCAATTTAGTGTCTCAATGGTTGCTGATACTCGTCAGAACCTGTCACTAATGTTTACTCACGTCCGTTTCGAATATCCATCCCAAATGGAAACAGAACCCGAGATTGCGTTTATTGAAAACGATATATTCTGAGATCTTCAGAAAGGTTGGAAGCAGGTTTAGCTAGGCCTAGGCTGATATTTAAGCAACGGCAGCGGAAACCTGAAAGTAGATCTAATCAAAT